ACAATAAGATAAAGCAGACAGGTTCGAGGGCCAGTTGGTTCACAAGAACAAAAAACACTCAACATAACACATTTCCAGAAACAATTTTTTAACACTTCACTAGAGCATCCACTAAAATAACATACTTTTCTTTATAAACTACAATAATGTATGTGTTTGTTCGTCAGTTTCGATGTAGATATGACTAGATAAGTCTAATTTACTAGTATTACAGTCTTAAAATATTTTAGCTTGTGGTAGCCAGACGGACGTGTTGTGGTGAAGACGTACCAATGAGCTGCTGTCCTCTCCTCGATGTGGAGTCAGACTAAGCTGGCATTCTCTCTAAACCCACATGCGCTGCTCTGCTGTGACAAAGAGCCTCATTTATCAGTCAGCAGTTTGTAGCACCAGCTCGTAAAGACATTTTTTTATTTGTGAACATAGTGAAACTAATGTCAGCTAATGTCAGTTAACTGATACTGAGCATCAGGCTAAGACATTATATTTATTTAGTGAGGTTTGGTGCAGTTTGCCAGGATTTTAATGATTCACACATACAAAAACGCTGATAAATGAACTCTATTGTCTCTCCGTCAGCCTCCTCCCTGCACTTGCCAAACTGAAATCACTCTATGTAGTTGAGTCTGTCAGCTGTTGACTAACCAGAACTAGTTATCAGAATGTTTTTTCCAAAAAAAACATGTCAGCTGACTTTCAGCAGCTCAACATTTTCTGCTAACAATGCGACCTTAGACAACAAAAGCCATCGACCCATTAGATGATAAAGGAGTCTCTGTTTCATCCACGCACTCAACTCAACAATGTGACTGTGTAACAATGGTTTGGCAGCAAAGATTGAAACATGGGTATCAAAAATGTTTACTCTTTCTACTACAGTGCTTTCCATTTAGTTAAGCATTGACAGGCTTGAATATTTGGCCATTTTCAGGGAAGACAAGAAGAAAAGCTATAGAAAATGTGCAAAGGCCTACAATGACTGTGACATGCAACCGTGTTTGTCAGAAGAAATCAACTTTACTCACCGCATGTGAAACAGTGAACAAAATCACAATATTCGCATTTTCTCAGATACTTGTGGAATACGATGCTGTGAGCACAAGGGTTTTTACTCTGTGGCTGCAAGTATGTTTAACAGCTCTTACACCAGATCGAGGAGCTTGTGAGTCCCTGTGCGAGCAGATGCGACTTCATCAAAACAACAAGTAAACATTAAAACGAGTCTATGGAATTAAAGCTAAAAATGTTTTTCTAAACCAATCCCATGACAGTTCTGACGAGTTGCACGTGACATCGTACAAACAGGGCAGTGAAAGAAGTGTTAAAGTCAAGTGCAGCTAGGGAAGCCAAATGTCTTGCTTGTGCAAAAACGCATTTTTGACAGATTTTATTTCTCTGGATTTAATCGGAAGTATGAGAAAGTAGTAAGCAGCTGTTTAAATTTTATAAAACAATAAGAGATTGAGATGGAAAGAGCAAAAACACTGTTCTGCTCTCTATGTCACTTTGAAAGTGCTTCACAATGGCAGAAAGTATATAATAGGTTGCTCTTCTCTCAGATTTTTATTATACTTATCAACAATATCTGAACAAATAATTATTACAGGATAATACTATTTCCACTAGTAGTACTAGTACTAGTATTGTTTCACAGTAGTGGTAGTACAGTATAGCAGTAATAATAATAACAACAACAATGATGTATTATTATTTATAATCTAAAGTAATCTTATATTCTGTGTTTTGTAGCCTTAGGTAGGTTAGTTTGTGTGTTTTTCTGACACAAGGTGGAGCTACTTTATCTGATTACAGGACTCACTCGGCTTTACTCACCATGTGCCATTTCTCATATTCTTCTCCTTCTCGGCCACCGCTGTAGCGTCATCCAGCCTCAGCTTCGTCACCTGACCGCACACGCTCTGGAGCATGGGCAGAAACTCAGGTCCTGAGCTTAACGCTTGGCCGTGTCCATGTCCTTTCAGGAATTGGGACATCATATCTGCCAGCTGGGCGTGGTTCACTGGGCCTCTGCTTTCACTGCTCACTAGAGATGGGAGACCACTGGTCAGCTGCTAAGATTTGTGAATTTTAAAACTAACATTTCTTACTCAACAAAAGGAAAGTTTCAGCACAAATGCCTGGTGAAGTCTCCACCTCTGCGCACTCTTGTTTGACGTCAGAGAAAGGATGATCCTTACTTGTATTCTTGGTGCTGTCACCAGAAACCAACAGTTCTGGGGAGGAGGAGAAGGAGGAGGAGGAGGAGGAGGTCGAGTCATTTGACATCGCTCCGTTCTGAGCCGGCGGAGCTTCAACTGCAGGCCTGATGGAGCCGACTGGACGCTAGTGACACAGAAACAATACTCTCTGAAACCATCTGATATACATTTTCTGAGCCAATATTTCACTGGCCTCAAGTTGACTGTGGCCATGCTAAAGAAAGGATTTATGTCAAGACAGACAACTTTAAAATAATGAACTGCATTCAGAATCATCTCTCAACCTATTTGTAACCGAAGTTAAGATGCAACTCTTGATAAAATTTACGTTTTATTAGTAACAACAGCACAGTTAATACTGATACCCTGGAGTCTGCAGGCTGGGGCTGGTTGCTGAGAGAGGTGTTGGCTGCTTGAGCCAGGGCAGACAAAGCTCCACCGCCCATCAGGAGAGGCAGGAAGCCGCCCAGAGAGCTGGTCTGGTTCTGGAGAGAAACACATACAGATTATTATTTTGTGCAGCCACGAGTTAACTGCTTTATTTTGGGGGTTATTTCTGAGCTATAGACATCAAATGAAGGTGACAGTTTCTGTTGAGGTAAATTTCTAACAACATTTTGATTCAATCCAGAACACAAACACATGAACCTGCTTGTTTGTTTTATCATAAAGGTTACTGTTCAGCTGAGAGGCATCTCCAACATCTCAGGTGATTAATAAACACATTGAGAGGGAGAGTTTCCAAAATAGGTATCGCAAGTTGATTTTCATTGTGATACAAAATGAAGTACAAGCAAATAGAAGTTTGAGAGTTAAAACATGTAATCCATTGGCATAGTCCTTTAACTCATGTCACTGTAGTTGTAGTTCCCCCTCATCGCCTGCAGAGGTCGTTAAAGATGAGTAACTTGCTGCTCCTCTCCCCCCACCTTCTGCTGAAAGTGCACCATGTCCATGAGGTTCTGGGCTCCCGGTGAGAGGCTTGCTCCCATTTCCTCAACCAGACACTGGACCTGCTGCATGTCGATGCCGGGGCCACGGCCCGGGCAGGGGTGCAGCTGCTGAAGGCCCACGATGACTCGACACACCAAAACACTGCTTCTACCAGCCAGGGAGAGCAGCTGGGAGACCGACAGACAGAAACAGGGGATTAAACTGCACTCAGCAAAGTGATATTTCACTGTAACTGGATGAAAGGCTAGTAGACTAGCAGATGTCTTTGTGTTTGGATTGACCTCTCTCTGAATACAACTCACCTTCACTTCACAGGCTGGTGATGGATGCTCAAGGATCAGCTGTTTTTTGTAGAAAGGCCCTCTGTCTGAACTGTGAGCATAAAAAGAAAGAGACATCCATCAGACACTTGAAATGTGTTAATGTCAACTTTATTACTGTTTTATTTGGTATTACATTTTAGCCTGTATTTAACATTGGACAATGCAAAGTGATGGGACATATAAGAAGACAGTGGGACTGACAAACAACAAAAGTGAGTGACTTAATTCAAATTCAGGATGTTGCCAGACTGCATTTTTAAAAGGCTATATCATCAGCTTCTGTCCTGTTTTCTGCCATCAATTAATTTGAGTTGCTGCGTCGGTGTGTGTATACCTATCTGGCTGGATGCTGTTGTCCCTCTCCCCACGTACTGTCCCACAGTATTCTCCCATCTGGCTGTACACCTCCATGGTTCGAGCCTCGCTGGTGATCAGCAGGCGGCTGATGGCAGAGGGAGAGCAGGGGCTGCAGTGGAGCACCAGGACACAAGGAGACCCTTCCTCTGTCTGCTCCAACAGCACTGGGCCGCCCCTGTGAGGGAAGGATTACTGTTAAAGGTGCCGCTCACTTATAAAATTCACTAAAAAAATCGTGGTGAGGTTTGTTTGCCCGCGTTACACATACGTAGTTATGCACTTCTAAGTCAGGCTTTAACAAAAACTATTGAGATTATCAGGGAAAATCCTCAAAAAAAAAACTCAGCGTATCTTTTAAAGCTTCTGTTCACAATCATTAATCACTTGGAGCAGTTGTTAAGTTGATTGCTTTCATATAAAATAGCGAGCTAAAAGCTTTTACCAGTTTGTGTCGTCGCCCTCTGACTGACTGAGCTCTGCTTCATGATCGTCGTTGTCACTGACGTGAACAGGAAGCAGGACATCAGCCAAGTGATGCTCCTGAGCGTGACAGACCCAAGCCGCTCCGCTCTTCACAGCAATGTCCACCATGATGCTGCTGAGGCCGGCACAAGGAGACAAGCGAGGACACAAAGTAGGAAACAACTTAGGAGACAAGAGTGAATAAAGAACAAGATAGGAGACAGGTTAGGAAAGAAGTAGCAGTTCTTTAAGAAAGCTAGGACGAGGATAAGTTAGGACACAAGGTAGGAGACCATTTAGGAAACAAATCTAGAGAATCAAGTTCATCTCAACTGTCAGCTATGATGAGAGAAGTATTGATGGCACATCTCGTCCCTATATTAACGTTACATTTTGATGTATTAAATCCCTTCCTTTGCTGAACAGCTGTAACTGTAAATAAACCACACAGCTTGCTAATATTAAGCCATAACGCTGCTTTTATTTTTACCTTAAATCTGCTCCCGCTGAAACCGATCGACTAGCTGGTTTTCCTCAGGTCACTGATTTTTCTTCTTCGCATTTCTCCAGATGTATTAAAAAACATAAATTTAGATTCGCGGCTATAGCTGATAACATAAAGGTGAATTTCTGACTCGATTTAGCTAACGCTGAACTACAGCTGCCGTGCGTCGCGGCTGATGACGTTGTCATTATCATGACGTCAATAAACAGCGACTCGTAAGATGTCTCAGGGTGAGATACTATTTTGGTAAATACGCATTTTTTCAAGTAAAACAAATAACCTACATGCTGTTTTTCCACAATTCGTATATGTGGTTTTGTGTTTAAGCGTATGAAATGTCCATACTATATTGGAATGTGACTAGCAAGCTAGTTTTGTCGTGATTCGTGAACAGTTTAGCACCTTTTTCTATAAATAAACAGTGTGAGTTTTCCAGCTGAAGTTTGTGTTTTCAGAATCAGGAAGAGCTTTTTTTGCTAAGCAGTGTTTTACACGTACGAGGAATTTGCTTTGGTGATGAGGTGCTACGCGTAGACATAACATACACTGACACAAATAAATGTAGAAATATATAAATACGGAATAGACAGATGTAAGTTATATAAGAATAGTAAAAGAATAGAGAAAAAGAATTAAACTATGTGCGCGGCAGATATTTACATGTCCATTACTCCGGGTTTGTGTTTTGTGAAGACGTATTGCAGCTGCAATATGCCAGCTTTGTGCATGATATGAAATTAAATAATAATATTTACACGTGCAGAGACATTTGCATTAATCGAAGGGGGGAGTGTCAGTGGGGGACCCGGGCCTTGTTAGTGAGGCTAGCTGGAGATGGGAAGAAGCTGTTTTTGTGGTGAGAGGTTTTGGTCCTGTTGGAGGGGAGAGTTTGATGATTTAAATCCCATTCTGATTAATCCTCTATAGATTTTATGATGACGTAGCCAAGTGGTTAATAAATAATGGCATAAATAATGGATCTGATTCCTTTTAAAGCAGGGGATGGACTTCACTGAGTGCTACGGAGACACAGTCTCCAGTGTTGCAGCTGCAGCGCGGTCGGGCTGTAGGAAGCGGGTGAGGAGGCTGATAAAGAGAGGCTTCAGTGTGGACTGTCGAGATAACCGTGGCTGGAATGCCCTGCACGAGGCGTCAGCCGCTGGCAGTAAAGAGTGTGTGCAGGACATTTTGTCTGCAGCCGGCGGTAAGAAAGGGTATTGTGCAACTCAAGAGTAGTAGTTCTCACACTTGAGAAGCTGGGACCAGATAATATTTGTTCCCGGCCCTTATATAAACCACTGAATTAATCAGTCAAATACACAGTTCAGAAGCAAACGCACACATCTGAGATGCTGGAATCAGGCAAGACAAGGCACGTTTATTTGTATAGCACATTTCAGCAAACACAAAGTTTCAAGTAGAAAATAATAATCAGGCTTACCTTTTTGATTGATTCCCATGTCTCACACCAGTCAAACCATGTACAATATTTATTTCCTCTTATTTACGATCGTCCCCGTGAATCCAGATTGTTTGCACTACAATCTTGGTAAAAGCCGTCAAAACAGCGGAGAAAAATGTTCAGCCCTACTCGGCACTGCCTCGACGCACTGCAACCCACACAGCGGATATCTATGCTAGAGATTCTACTCGGCACTGTTAAGACTTGGTCTGACTACTTATGAGAGAGGAGAAACCAACTGATTTTCAAAAGCAGGAACGTCTTTAGAAAAATCTCACCCCCAAAACAGGACAGTTAAACTTACAGTGCATTGTAAAATATTAACAAAATAATAAAAACAGGTAATCTTACTTTCACAGTTATTGAAATGGTTATTGATTAATTTCCTAATGATCGACGAATCGATGAATCAGTCCTTTAACAAATGTATCTAGTTTTCTTTAAAGTCAAATAGGCAATTCAGGTAGACACAATCTTTCTGTTCTTTCCCCTTTTTGTGACTGTCAGCAGCAGGCTCCTCCCGTGGCTGTCATGCCTATGTGAACTCTTTAACACATGAGGGGGAATCTGCATGCTACCTGGCAGCGCAGCGTGGACACCTGGCAGTGGTCCGACTCCTCCTGAAAGCGCATGCCAACATCAACCAGCTAACAAATGACTTATCCTGTCCTTTGTATGCAGGTACAACATGTGTATGCACCTCTGACCAAAAAAAACATCTTTAGTATAGTAAAGTACAAGATGATTTGATTCTATTAATGCAATATTTATCAGCTACTGATGTCGTGGAAATTGTATCTTGCTGGTGATGGATTAAGCAAATAATTGAGTAACAACCAACCTTTGTCTTTGAAGAATTTATTAATCAAAAGAGAACAACAGACAAGTACTACAACAGAAAATCAGCTGGTCCAGAGACCTGCCGCCTAGGGCAGCTTCGGGCTTCTGGCCCAGAGCAAAAAGGATGCATAATCATTCACACAGTCTAGGTTTCTATGTTTTGGGGAACAGAGATCCTCTCTCAGCCTTGAATGAACATTCAAGGAGAGGAGAGGAACTGCAAGTAAGGAAAACACCAAAACAATCTCACAGCTCTGACCTAAACCCCAGTAAATGTGGACAGACTAACATAAGGAGTATAGAAGAAGGAAAGGTTAGGGATAGAAACAATATATACCTATGAGACATAACAATAATAGTAATAATAAAAGATCATGCATAAAAGATGAAATGTAAGAGGAAACAATTTTCTGCCATAACACCTAACTGTTTTCCAACAGCTGTAGATGGCGGGTACAAGGAGGTTGTAGAACTGCTGCTCAGTAAAGGTGCAGAGGTCAACAGAACACACACCGCGTCCTGCTGGACCTGCCTTCATCAAGCTGTTTATAAGGTAAAAACCAAACTCACAAACACACACAAAACTCTGTGAGACATGTTCTAACCTGCATACATTTATTCCTTAAGGGTCACAGTGAAATTGTGCACATCCTGGTCAATGTGTGCAACCTAGAGGCACTAGATGACCACAGGATCTCCCCTCTCTTTGTGGCTGCACAGTATGGACAACAGCAATGCCTGGAAATCCTTGTTAATGCTGGTAAGTAGCTGTTTTTATTAATACCTTTTATATGTGCATGTGTATATGTTCATATTATAAATTTGTTTGTTGCAAGCTAATGTTGCTTGAACTAAGGTTTATTTTCTTATGTCCCCCCTGCCTCTATTCTTCCTGCCTGTGTTTTATTTTGTTTTCACTTTAGGTGCCAATGTGAACACCCAGGCAGCTGATCTGGCCACACCACTGCTGATTGCCTCTCAGGAGGGCCACCAGGCATGTGTGGATTTCCTTTTGGACCACGGGGCAGATCCTAACGTAGCCTGCAGCCATGACTGGCCCCAGCTTCCAATTCATGCTGCTGCTGAGTTTGGCCACATCGGGTACTGACTCATAACTTGTTTTTCAATGATGTGTTGTTGGGCAGTGACTCCTAACATTTTTAAAGTGTGACGTCTTTTAAAGACAGAATGCTGTATTTGTCAATAAGTTGTAGACTAAAGAGTGATTGTAATTTATCAGATTTTGTAATTTGAAAAAAAGTTTGAGAGTTTAGGAGATAAAACTATTCAGGAAAAATATTTAGTTAATTAAATGTCGAAAAATATTAATTGCCGTTTCCCAGAGCCCGGGGTGACATCTTTATATTGTCAATATAAAGTCCAAAACCCACAGATATTACGTTTACAATTATATAAAACAGGGAAAATCTGCTAATCCTCACATTGTAATAGCTTAATGTTTACCATGTTGCTTGACGAATAATTTTCTGTTGATCAGCTGATTAATCTACCACACGTCTCAGCACTGATCATAAACTGATTATTAACACATTGTACGCTTCTTAGGAGGAGCTTCATGCAAATGTACCCATTTTTCTTTTCCTTAGCCCTCTGTGCTTTTGTCAATCCAGTGTCCTCAGGAGGCTGATAGATGTTACGGATCGTGTGTGTGACCTTGGCGATGGCATGGTGAGTCCACTGTATGTGGCGGTCAACAGGCATCAGAGCGAGAGTGTCGAGATGCTTTTGAGGGAAGGTTATAGCCCAGATGCCCAGGACTGCACACACATCCTGGGCCTCCGTTCACCACTCTCCTTTGCCTTGTGTCGCACATCTAACAAACCATACAGGTTTGTGAGAAAGACGATTTTACCCTTTAAGAACATACACAAAATAAAACCAATGAATTTGTCCCTGATTTGGATTAAAATCTCTTTCAGTGAATCAGTGAGGTTGCTGGTAGCTGCAGGAGCAAGTTTCAGTGAGGAGGACTGGATTTACGCTTTGGCCACTGACAAAACAGACCTGCTTCAACTGATACTTGAGCACAGATGGATCCCTCGCCCGGAGACATTGACCAGAGACTGTTCTGTTCCACGTCATCATGGGAAAACTGTGTTAAAGCTGCAGGAACTGAGAGAGCTGCTTTGTGTTGCACTAAACCAAGTAAATTTTGCTGCCTGCTGGCTTCCTCTGCTTCTGAAGGCAGGACTTGAACCTTCTTTGCTGCTTCAGCCCCACATGTAAGTCCTGTACTCTCACTTTTTCACAAGTATAAGATGGCTATACTTAATCAATTTCTTACGGTCCTCGATGCTTTCTAGGTTGGAACAGGCAGACGGCGAGGTGTTGAATTACCTACTAGAGTTTGTAAACTGGTCGACTCTGTCTCCGCCTTTGAAACACATTCTGGATCGAAGACGGGCAGAGAAGAGCTGGGAACCATGTCCACATTTCGGTACAGTGATAAAATACAGTCTTTACAGATCTTTACTAATATGTAGTAAACCTTGAGTTGTGACAATTTAAATTTTTCTCCTCTCCTTCCTGTAGACTCCATTCCCTGTCTTTCCCACATCTGTCGGCTGCAGGTTAGGTTAGTGCTGGGACCAGATCTACTGATGAGGACCAACGTTGTCCAGCAGCTCCCTGTGCCCTCTGTACTTCATGGCTTCCTCCAATTCAGAGACATCCTGAAAGCTTCCTACACACACTCCCCGCCATCACCACTTTTAAATCGAATACAGGGATACCGCAGTACACACACACACACAGGCATGTTCTATAATGATGCTTTAAGGTTGTTAAAATAATCTTATTTCACAGTTTGACGTATGTGTTCTGTGTCTGCTTGTTACAGCACCTCATGAAAACAATATGTTAACAAATGGAGATATTTTGTGCATCATTTTTCACCCATTTCCTTATAGTTCTGCACATTTGTCTATTACTTTTCATAAATTATTTCACTAATTTGAATATTGTAGTTTGTATCACTTGTTTCTCTCTACCAGTAGCGTTTATTGTTTAATTTTAGTTTTGTTATTATTTATTATTCAAGTTAATAAATCCTTAAAACAAGGTGTGTTTGTTCAGTTTATTTATTGATATGCTCTGTTTGTGACATGATAATAAAACTGTAATTTGGTCACATTCTGATTGGTGCAAACCGCTGTCATTCAAACCGTAGGCCACATCTGATTGGTGGGCGTGACGTTTTGTGGGCTCTCAGTATTTGACAGGAGGAAATAGAAGCGACGTAAAGAAATGAAAAAAAACAAGGCGCTCGTTCAGGGAGTTTACATGACATCTGTAATGTAAAGGCCGTTAAAACGCAACTCGAGGAAAGATATGTCTTAATGTATTTCATACGTGAGTATGTTAAATGTTTGTTTTTCTCAGTGCATTTGATTTTTTTTCCGAAGCACAGCGACGGTGTTGCTTGCTAGCTTGTTTGCTTGTGCGCATTCACTTTGTGTTGCTCGTTTTGCTCAGGAGACACAAACGTCTCTTTTCTGGCTGTTTTTCTTTTTTTTTTTGCCCTCTCGTACTTGGCTAGCAACGGTTTCTTATTTCCAGTCAGCATCGAAACAAAAAGGTGAATGTAATGCTTCTCGAATTCAAACGAACAATTTGATAGCATACTATAAAAAAATGCCAGCCATGCCAACAACAGCAGGTTGGCGTGTCCCCCCAGGTTTTCATGATATCTAATGATAGCTAACGTTACATGCTGATTTGTCAGGTAACTGTTACTAATACTAACTTTAACTTGCTGTACACGCAGCTAAAAGCCACTTTACGAACATGGGGTTAGTGCATTTGTCAACACGGCTACCGAGTTCCAGCCTGTGAAGACCGCAGTGAAGTTAGTTTTAAGTTGGATACTCGGCTCAGTAACGTTATCCAGCGGCTCTTCTTACTCAGGCTCACCCGGTGTTTGGCAGTGAGAGGGCGGCTAGCTCACACCCGAGCACTCGCTCTTAACCACGGGGGGTTTTACTTCTGAGGGCCCATCAATAAATTACTGTTGCAGTTACACAAAACCAGTGTTATGTTTAAAACTTTAGTGCTGACTTGCCCATATTTGTGGAAATGATTTAAAACGTTTAATAAATTGTTCTTATGTAGGACACCTATTTTCATTGCTTATGTGTGATTAATTACCTTTACATCATCATTTAAATATAATATATTCGCAACTTTGCTCGATTTTTGTGCTTCTGCTATTTTATATGAATATATTTATGGGGAGAAATCTGCATTTATTATCAAAGGCTTCATCCAGAGTCTCCAAACCGATGCTGACACTGGATAAATTATTAGATTTTAATGGTTCTGTTTTCTATGAAAGCTAGGGAAGCATTTTGGGGGGAGGGGGGGACATGACCCTAGATTTAATATTTCTATGTAAAGATCAGCATTATTCCCATGTCTTGTGACGCAGGGAATCCAAACCAATCGTGAATTGTATTATTACACTGGATAAATAAGGATTTTAGTGCTCCTTATGTTTTATATTAACATTTTTATGGAAAACAAATCTTTAAACTGCACCTGTGAAGTAGAAATGCATTTGTACTAGAAATGTGTTCTATTGCTCTAGGGTACTAATACAATTTGGTATTTGTTTGTTACCACTGGGTCACATGACATGGAAGCTATGGAGGGGAAAAAAGCAGATGCACTAGAAGAGATGCACTAAATTCCAATAAAAAGGGGTGTGTCTCATTTGTCCAGTCTAGTCCTGCAATTCGGCACTGGTTAGGAGTCCCTGGGTCTGATGAGAAGCCATTGAAAATAAATGCTGATTCTAAATGTAAAATAGAAGAAGCACTAAAATCTTCTAAAAACTGCAATTATGTTCTATCAAGTACTTCTGTAAATAATATAGCAGTTGGAGGAGAGCTAAAGGCCACTCTTTGTGCCAACGCTGGTTCCCAGAGTGAATGTCTGTCGAATATCCAACTTAAAACTAACTTCACCGCAGTAAAGCACAGCATCACCCCAGCATGACCTGCTCTGAAGCAGTGGGTGATTCACTGAGAAGATGGGAATAGCTGTCGTTTGCTGCTTCTCTAAGAGTAGTTTTAAAGATGATATTTAACTCAGATCTTTGTTAGGCATTAATACATGAAGGAACATACTTAAAAACATCCAGCTGCTGTTGATGGCAGCAAGGGAAAAGGCAGACTGTACATCAGTGCTTCAAGAAAATGTGTTGGACATTTGTTTAACATTTCATTACAAAAATCATGGACTAATTTATCCCTTCATCCATACTGTAGAAAATATTTTAATTTGAAGCTTATTTTCTCAATTAATTGATTGTCTATAAACTGTTAAGACATTTTGAATAATTTTTCAGTCTGAATTCCCCTAATATTTAAATTGCTCAGAAAATGTTAGTGAAACAAAGTTTTTTCAAGCACTGAATCACTATTAAGCAATTGACAAGAACATCACATATTTAAATCCAACACGCCACCTCTGGCCACATGATTTTTGGTATGCTGATGAAGTATTAAAACATCTTGCTGCAATACTTCTTCGAAAGTACTGTGTCCATTAGTGTGCTTCGACTGTAACATCACTACTAAATGTATTCAACCAACAGTCCAGAGTCCAAAAATATTTACATTACTACCGGGCACGACAAAAACAAAATCTTGAAGATTTAAAAAACAATCGATGCAGATTAATTATCTGTAGCTCAAACAATCGACTCATCGTTTAAGCTCTAATTTAGATGCTGATTAAAATCCAGGGTGGAAGTTTTTCATTTCCTCTGCCTTTTTCTTCCTTGCAGCTGAGGCCAGCATTACGACTTCTCGTCCACACGTATTCCAGATGAGGAATGCTGGAAGTATGAAGCCTGTGCACAGAAGAGATGCTGGAGTCTGGAACCAAACAAGAAGTCTTCTCTACAAGAATCTGCTCATCAAGTGGAGGACCAAGCAACAGAGTCTTCAGGTGCTTTGTTTTCAGCAGGCTGATATGAAGCTGGTTCTGCAGAGTTCAGTGTCATCCAGCTTATTTCTGTCTTACTGTTGCTGTGTTTGATAGTTGTCTTTATATCCCACAACTAATCATGCAGCAAAGTCAATAATTTTCAATATGGAGTTATAACAAATATTGTGCAAAGAAAGTGTAGAAGGAACTAAGCTTATAATTTAATATTGTAAGCTTGTAAAAAGGAGAATCTAATATATGTAATTAATACATTATAGATGTATTAATTACTAATTTTTCATACTTTATGTTACTGGCTTACCTTTATATATCCACCGTATTATTTCCACTTAGTCCTTTTTGTTACTTTCAATTCTGTAAGCTGTTTTACTTCCCTGCTTAAAGTGTTTTACCTCTGACAACTGTTTATTGAAAGGTTTGTTTTGCCGGTGATGTACCATACCATTATCTTGCGTTCCACATGCCTTTTCTCAAGGCTAGCACAGTGACGTAGTCCATATTCTGAATGGATCTCTGAGAGAGCTCTCTCTGAGGTTATTACGGGGAAACCTCAGCTGCAGTTAATAAACATTATAATGTGGTAAAAACAAACAAGCCATTTGCCCTTGGTAAAGTAGTCCTTTCTTTAACTCCAAAATCATTATGTATGAATTAACAAAATGGCTAGTGCCTCCACACCCTTTCAATTTCTCCTTTGTTGAACCATGCATTTTTCATTTGGCTTTAAGTTGCACTGATGCATTTTTAATGTCTCTGTGTATTAACCTTTCAGCCGGGCGGCTTCCTGTAGCTTCCTTAATGGCCGATAGGAAAGTCCAGGGCTTTTCTAAGCTGCAGTGCGATTGCTACAACTTGTTTGCCAACTGTCGTTATGGGCGTTATGAGAAACCAAATTAAGCTTTTTACGTAGTGTTCTGTTGGAACGTGAAAACAGAACCCAGCTTTGTTGGTTGCTAAATGCGATTTGAGTTCTCACCTCTGGGATTATCTGTGTCCAGGAACTGTGGAACCAAAAGCCCTAAAATATGTATTGCTCTAAATCTGTTTTAAAGCCAGACACGCTCTGAAATCAGCTCTTGACATTCCAGCGGCTCGTAATTTATTGTTTCAATTTACTTTGTTGCTCAAGGTCAAGCTGTGGCATGTTGTTTATGGATTGCAGGAGAGACAGAAGGCTTTTGGCGTTTGTCATGAGGTTATTTGAACAGCCTAAAGGCGATGTGCTCTTATTAACTTATAACTCACTCATGGTCACAAGCTTTGGGTAGTGACCAAATCCAATTGGGATCAGATTCTGGGAGAGACACAAACGATATTGAAGGTGTTACATATTCCATCTGGCTGGGTAATTCTTAAGGACCAGTCAGAGAGGCTACTCTGCTGACAGAAGTCAACCACATTTCCATTAATCTTCTATGTTTGTGGTTGGACTGACCTAGAGTAGAGTTTTCCTCCAAGGATGAGCTATGAGTAAACCATGTGTGGTTTTCTCATCGGCTGTTCTTTTACTTTCTTTGCAGGAATTGATCCTACCTCTGCTTCTGTTGGGGCTCCTGATACTCATCAGCACCCTGAATCCTCACGTTTATTATGGAGGCATCAGGACTATGGAGCTGGAGCTTGACGACATCTTTTTCAAGGGCCTGGGCTACACGCCCATCACTAACATCACCAATCACATCATGGAAGAGGTGGCCCAGGAAATGCGTAAGTACCTGAGAACCCTTTCATCCTTTAAATTCACTGCTACACTATAAGATGCTGTTCTCATCTGTTTCAAATGAGAAAGTGACTGAGGAAGGAAAACTTTAAGGTTATGGGCCAATGTTTTGCTTTATATTTACACTTTTTCCTCCTCCTTCTGTTTTCAGACATGCAAGATCGTCTGGAGATGTTCGCCAGTGAGGAGGACCTGGAGAACGCCAGCCTGTATGAGCCTTCCAGCTATGTTGGTGTTGTGTTCTTGGACAGCTCTGCCACGTCTTACAGACTGCGCTTCCCGTACAGCCAGCTGCCCCTACCCAGCGATTACACAGAATCTATTGGTAAAGTGTTAACAGGACTGTTTTTAACTTTATTGTATTTAGTTTTGTCTCCTTTTATGTATACATATAAAACTTCCTGCGTAGATTTCCACCAGTTTACAGACTATATTCCCCACAATGACAAAACACAACTTAATTTTTAGAACATTTTACAGATGTATTATAATTGACATACAGGCTTGCTTACTACATACAGCCTACATTGAGACCGTTGGTATAAATACTAGTCTGAAACTTATTAGCTGTCACTAAGAACACAGTAAAGAAATTACACACAGAGCAATAGGGTTTTGCCCGGGTGTTCCCTGCTCTGTGGCTGGCACACCTCGGACCAACGGAAAAACCCTATCAGTGTTGAATTTACTTAATGAGTCACTGTTCATTTTGCTTCATTATTGTAAAAAGGAAAATGTTTGGAACCATCAAGACTGGAGCTGGCTATCTTTCAGGATCTTCTTTTATGGCCCTTTCACAGTTCGGTTTATTTGGTCCGGACCAAGTGGGGAAAAAATGATGTAGCATTTTAGTTCTGGTCCGGTTCATGTTCACACTGCAGTTTTACAAACCAAGAGAAGCAACCATGGCAGTACACAGACTTACAGGTAACTTGTTGATTCGACAGCTTTGCCGATTGTCATCCTGCATCATCAGGACCCACGTGGGGAAATCAAATCTTTTTATGCAGCACTTTAATGCTTCTGATATGTCAGACCACAGATTGACTGCGTAGCCTATTATGATAATAGTAAGGCAGTATAATAGTATAATCTACTGTGGGATCACTGTCACAAATGTTTTATGGACAAACCTTTTTAAACAGATTTTAACGTATTAATCAGAGAAAATACCTGCGCTGACAACAAATGATTTTTATAAACATAGCATGGCTTATATAGATTAATTATAAGATTGCTGATCACATTTTGCGGTCTGCAGATGGATTTATAAGTGGTTTAGCTTTGGAAATAATGCACATCTCTGTTACCATAAAATCCTGTGGTTGGCTCGTTTGCTTTCACCGCACCAGAGGTTGTTTGAAAGCGTACTGAGACCACATCTTCAAGGAGGTCTCGGTCCACTTTTGGTGCGAACCAGAGTGCGATTGCTGCATTCACACCTGCCCAAGCGACCCGCACCAAGGGGGAAAACCAACTCTAGTGCGATTCAACAAAACTAAAACTGCAGCTTCAGAGTTCTCTTTAGAGGAGGGTGAACCTGCCAGAATGAAACCATCTCTGTAGCAGTCCATCAGTCTGGCGTTTGATAGAAGGGGTAGCTACTGCTCCTCACTAAAAAACAGCTCCACAACTCATGCTGTCTCAGATATTTAACTTTCAGCAAAAGGAGCGGAAGCACCCAACCATGACAATGCTGGATAGGCTCCAAGACAAGTCTGGGAAGGTTGTTAAGTAGCTAATCCAAAATCCTGATTTAATACTCTTTGTTGTTAAGCTGTGGAAAATCCTGGTTGTTGCTTTTCACTGATACTGATCCTTCCTGACAGGATATAAGGCAAAATGTCCAAATCAGGGGTCATTGGGTTGGGGGGGTAAGCTTTGTGTATTGAATCATATGCCGGTGTGAGATGTGATGAACACAACAGAATATATAAAAACAATTATGCTACTTCATTTTAGAGGGAATGTAAAGAGTCAAATAAATGCAAGCCAGAGCTGAAATGTAAAGTGTCATTGTGCTTGTTCTCCTCTAGCCAACTGTTTTACCACCTCGGTGAACTGCAGAGCAGCTAATTACTGGTACTCTGGCTTCGTCCGCCTCCAGTCTCTGATCGATGCAGCCATCATCCAGGTGAGACAGCAAAGAACATTTTCATTACTGAGTTCCCCTACTGTGGGTGGCACAGGTGTTAGCACTATCGCCTCACAGCAAGAAGGTTGTGGGTTCAAACCCCGGCCTTTCTGTGTGGTGTTTACATGTTCTTGCTCCAGCTTCTCTCCGGGTGCTCCGGCTTCTACCCAGACATGCAGGCTAGGTTAATTGGTGACTTAACTGTGAATGTGAGTGTGACTGGTTGTCTGTCTATGTGTGGCCCTGTGATGGACTGGTGACCTGTCCAGGGTGTACCCCGCCTTTCGCCCGATGTCAGCGCAACCCTGTACTGGTACCCGGTTGGCGATATTTATATTTATTTAGTCAATATTTATATTAGTGGTCTGACAAAAAATTGATTGATACCAATTTTTATAATTAATTAAAACAGCTTCTTAAACCTGATAATTATAATTGTATCTCAGATATCATTGGCTTTTGGACTTTTGGTCAGACAAAACAATAAAAATGTTACCTCGGACCCCCAGAAATTGTGATGGGCATTTTAAAAAAAAAAATCTTTAGATTAAATGATTATCAGTCAATGTAAGTTGATAAATGAATCTGTAATGAAGATCATCATTACTCAGAGTCCTAGTGTGATACACACATGTGCTCATGGTCCATCTGTTGTGCACAGATGCAGACAAAGCGTTCTGTGTGGAGTGAGATGGACCTGAAGGTAGTAATGATGGGTCAGCCAGGCTCTGTGGAGGTGCAGAAATTCCCCCACGCCCTCATCTCCATCTACCTGGTCCTGGCCTTCACACCCTTCGTAACCTTCCTCATCGTCAATGTGGCAGCTGAGAAGGAACATCGCCTCAAAGACACCATGACCATGATGGGGCTCTACGACACTGCTTTCTGGTGAGGGAGAAGACGACACTTTTTTGGTTAAAAATAATATGTAATCTGCTTTCTGTGTGAATGGGATGTGTGGGTATATGCTTGTGTTTTTGTGTTGTGCAACAGGTTGTCATGGGGCCTCCTGTATGCTGCTCTGGTAACCACCATGTCTTTCCTGATGTCCATCATCGCAACGTACACGGCTCTGTTTCCTAACAGCGACTTCTTGGTTATCTTCTTCCTCATCTTCCTCTATGGAATATCATCGGTGAGTAGAGCTGTGACAGAGGGAAGTAAACCTAAGCAGATGTGTTGCTTTGTTTTAAAGGGTCACTTCACCCAAATTACATCCGTATTAGTGTAGGTAGATTTGGTTTTAGTCGCCTAGGTTTAAGATTTATATTTCTTTTGAGATTTCTGTCTCCACCCCAACACAGTGGAGGTGAATAGTGTGTTGTGGTGCTCACAGCAGTGAAAATGTCAGCACCAACGTGTCTTTCCAGAAACAATCTACCTGTTGTTCTTGATGATCCACAGACTTCAGTTATCATTGAAACTTCTTTCTACTGAAGAAATAGTCCCTATGAAAACTGTTGACAGTGTGTTTTTAAGGAAATCTCAAATTTAGGAAAAGCTAGGAGACCTTATTGTGTTTTTGTGTTTGCTCTGTACAACATCATTTGCAGATTTCCCCATCGCAGCTTCCCCACAACGCTTTAGATTGTCTAGTCAGCAACTGCAAGCCTCGTAAATCTTTCTGTTTCGATCATTAATCCTATCTGCTGATTGTGTGGTCCTTGCTGGTGAAACACTACTTGACACACAAATTGCAACTGGAATGACTGGAATAATGTTGTGTGGCTCGGACCAAGCCGCTTGTTTGTTTCCCGTTAGCAGAGCCAGGGCTAAGTACAAACACCAGATTGTTTTTCTGTGCGCACACAGAATATACCCCACCTTTAATATCCAGGCAACATGGGGATACATTAGGTTTAAGTGGTTGCCATGAAAACTGCAAATTACCACAAAATAAAAGAGCAGCATTACAAGCATGACATTTTTTTGCTAATCTTGGAATTTGATTTCTTCGTAGCCTGGAAGAAAGTAATATATCCGGTTATATAGTTTTAAATCCGGTATCTTTTAACTGAGGCAGGAGGTTTTAATTACATCTCTCTCTGCCTTCTTTCACTCTTCTCTTCTCTCTCTCATTTCACAGATCTTTTTCTCCTTCATGCTGACTCCCCTATTTAAGAAGCCAAAGTTTGCCAGCACAGTGGGCTCCATGCTGACGGTGGTGTTTGGCTGCCTGTCGCTGTTTACCGTGCTGATAAAGGACTTCCCACAGCCGCTGGTCTGGCTTCTCTGCCTGCTCTCCCCCAGCGCCTTCTCAATCGGGATTGCACAGGTGACAAACACACACACACACACTTACCCACATCCCCACACCATGCTCTGCTGGTCATCTTGGAGTTCACGCCATGTAATGAAATACCTAATTGGCCAAGAAAATTCTGCATGAATATTGTTATTTCTGGCTTGTTGGTATCAGGAATTTCCTTTCTCCATCCATGCCATTGTCGTCTTTTGACCTTTTAAATTTTGTTTTGAATTTGAAGAGTACTAGATTAGGTTGGTCACCCTCAGAGACAAAGCATACTATCTTTCGACCACAGGTGCTTCTGATTTTGGTATTGCATATGTCTGTTTACTTAAACGTAAAGAATAACGCAGTAGGAGGACGCAGTGACACAGTGTAGAGGCTAATAACTGTGACTGTAGGGAATTGATCTGTACGTGTGTGTGAGTGTATGTGTCTGTGTACATATGTTAGGTGGTTTACCTGGAGGCACAGGGAGATGGTGCCGTGTTTTCCTCCCTGACCAATGGCCCTCATCCTCTTTACGTGCCCCTGCTCATGCTGGTTGTGGACTGCATCCTCTACCTTCTGTTGGCTGTCTACCTGGACCAGGTACTGCCTGGTAAGTACACACACAAACACAGAGTATACCTCAACATCATTTACAACTAATTAATTCTACAGTATTAGTATTATTTAATACTGTTAGTTGGTATCAGTTTTCCAGCAACATCCCATGAGATCATTGTTTGAGTATATCATGTGTAATACCATTACATAATTACATTTTGTCTGTAATTCAGGTGAGTTTGGAATGAAGAGGTCCTTGGTGTACTTCCTACAGCCCTCTTATTGGTCCAAACGCAGAAAGCGTTACGTTGAAGTGAGCTCAGTATATGACACAGAGGCGAACGGCGCTCCAGGTGGGGACGAGTCTGTCGAGCCTGTTTCACCTGAGTTCAGAGGGAAAGAGGCCATCCGGTAAAAGTCCAAACTTGCATGCGTATGTCAGTGGAATGCAGATTTCTGTTTTGTGTTGAGTGTTAACAGTCTGTTGTAATAAGAGCTGCTTGGAAGTGCTGCTTGTTACTTTGCATGGAGAGGTTAATACAGTTTGATAAAAACTTTAAGTGTAAATAAAGATTTGAATGCAGTTTTAGAATAACCTACATAACATCTATATCTAAATATCTATTCAGAGGATGAGCCTCCTGAAGCATGAGGAGAGAAATGAAGGCTTTTTGCTCTGTTCTTGGTTCAGTGCCAAACACTACTCACTCCTTCATTCGTCCTGCCTGAGGAGAGCCTGTGGGACCAGCCAGCAACCTGAGAGCTGGCCTTCACTCTGACACTGCTTCTGTGTTTACACTTCTCTCTTTTCTGTTTTAATTTTTCTTTATTGCTCGTTTGCTTCTTCTCTGGCAGCATCAATAACATCCACAAAGTGTACAAAGAGAAGGACAACGTGGTGGAGGCTCTGAGAGGTGAGTCCTCAACAGAGATGGGGACTCGAGTTTGAGACTCTGACTTGAGTCCGACTTAGGCCTCATGCTAGTGTTGTAGTCAAGACCGCCCAAACCGAGACCAGGTCTAGACCAAGACCAGAGTTTATCGAGACCGAGACAAGACCAAGACTTTTAGGGGCTGAGAGCAGTCGAGACCAAGACCGAGGGAAGGCGAGACTGAGTCAAGACCAAGACCAGTTCCCTGCATTGCATGTCACGCAATAAAATGTGGAACGAGATCGTAGGTGCTTCTCAGATTGATCTGAAAGATCCACATTCCCATTAAAACATCCATACTAAGAGCTGAAATCAACGTCAGCATCGCAGGGAGGGATGACAGTCGTTAATCAGGGTTACTGGTTCTATTTGAAGTAGTATGTTTTACTTCCAATCAAAGTTAGGATGTTAACAAATCAGACAACGCAAAAGCAATTTTTTGATATTCCCAAAGTCATGGTCTTGACTGGTCTTGAAATAAAATCCCGAGTCCTCGGTTTGAGCGTCTGCGGTTGGTGTTGACTTACAGTAGTTAATAAGCCATTAATTGCATTGCACATGGTTGTGCTCTGTAAGTGAAAAACAGGTGACAGTTACAGAATCCTTTTATTGCTCTGCAGTTTTATAAGCAGCCTGGATTGAACGCAGCAGGTGATACAACATTCATTATAACCACGAGTGACTTGAGACTTGGACTCTTGCTCAGAGACTTGAGACTTGACTTGGACTCTTGCTCAGAGACTTGTGAGCATCTCCTCTACACTTTGACTTGATTGGTGCTTTTAAGGTCAAATAGCAGAAGTTTTGATGTGCTCAAGTTTGCACAGTATATCTCAGTTTGACTTCACAAAGTTACTGTGGAATATCTTCTGCTCAATTTAGAGAGAAAAATGTAATTTCATCACCGGTGAGATGGTGGTTAGGCTGAGGGAATAGACTGTTTTCCCTTTAACCACTTAGTAATGAAAAATCAATCTTTACATGCAAGTTTTCATTTTCACCTAATTTATCTTTTATTTGCCTTTTACTGCCCTTCTGCATCTGTTCTTATGTTAATGTGCATTATCTCATCAATCATCATGATGCCGTCTCCTTCTTTACATCCCCTCCCCAGGTTTGACATTTGACATCTACGAGGGCCAGATCACGGCTCTGCTGGGACACAGCGGGGCTGGAAAGTCCACTCTCATGAACATCTTGTGCGGCATCTGCCCTCCCACTAACGGCTCGGCCACTATCTACGGCTCCCCCGTGGCGGAGATTGCGGATGGGTCAGAAATGAAGCAGCTGGTGGGAATTTGTCCCCAGTTCAACATCATCTTTGATGTGCTCACTGTGGAGGAGCACCTGCGGATATTTGCTGCCATCAAAGGGATCCCACCTGCAGACATCGATGCTGAGGTAAGGTGATGATCTGAACACAAGGTGGCGACTGTGGCTCCTCCAGGCTGCATGTTGAAGTGTCCTTGGGAAAGATACTGAACCCCGAATTGCCCCTGGCGGCTGCTCCACCAGTGCATGAATGTGCGTGAATATTAGTTTCTGTTTGAGCACTTAGTGTGTAAATGTGAGTGAATGGTGGATGTAGTGTAAAAGCACACTGAGTGGTTGAAACGACTAGAAAGGCGCTATATAAATACGAAGCATTTACATTTATTTAAGAGCCTCGATCTTATGGTTGGTAAGATAAATCAGGTGGAAGTTAGTATGAATTGTTTTATTGCTTTTATGTGATGAAAGAAAAAATCTATACAAGTTTTGTGCCCAACATCCTGACAAAGCAGAAAATAAGGGAAAATAAGAATAAATATGATCAGTTGATCAGATCGTTCCTGCTGGCCTCAAAGTCCTGTAGGCAAGCAGGAAAGATTGCAGCTGATCCCTCCCTACAGTATTTATAAAAATACAATATCCTCTCCCGCTGCAATACGTCTGCACAACACAAACCCGGAGTAATGCACATGTAAATATTTGCCACATTGTTCATTCTCTGCACATAGTTGTATTATTTTTTTATTACTTGCATCTGTTTATCCCATATTTATATGTTTCTGCATTTATTTGTGTCAATGTATGTTATGTATGTTTGTCTACGTGTAGCACCTAATCACAAAGAAAATTCCTCATACGTGTAAAATACTCTATAATACTCTAAAATACTAGTAATGTTAGATATATCAAAGCCCAAACATCAACTGACAACGCTTAACTGATAACGCTTTGTTGGATGGTGAAGGGAAATAATCAAAACGTCTCTTTCTTCTCTGTATTCTAATATTGCAGCACAACTATACACTGCTTCATTTTATGAGAAACATTTAGTTTTAAGGCACATTTCGTTAGTTAATATTTGAGACACAAGTCATCTTGAGTTATCAATCTGACTTTTTGGATGGCTTATTCAGAGATGAGTGTGAATGAAGAGTTGAACGGTTTATTCAGGAAAGTTTCAGGTGTTGATCCTTGGTGCGGTTTTGCTTCTCTAACAGGTTACCAAAGTGCTGAAGGATCTGGACATGGAGAAGATCATGACTGCCCAGGCCAAGAATCTGAGTGGAGGCCAAAAGAGGAAACTCTCTGTGGGCATCGCCATTCTCGGAGATCCCAAGGTACCTGGAGCTTTTATCATTAATCATTAATCGTTTAGTTTTATTTCTTTTTGTGTGTATCCTGGTTTCACACTGGAAAGTATTTGGAGTTATCAGTAACTCTGCTACCAGTCTTAGCAGGATAACACGAGTTTGGGCCCATTCTGAGCACTTCGCATCATGTTTTTTCCCTCTCAGATCCTGCTTTTGGACGAGCCCACAGCTGGCATGGACCCCTGCTCCAGACACCAAGTTTGGTCCCTACTGAAGAGCCGCAGAGCCGGCAGAGTCACTGTCCTCAGCACGCACTACATGGACGAGGCTGACGTTCTCGCTGGTATGAACTCTGTTACATAACATGCACTGACCCGCAGGTACCAAAACCATTAAGCAGATGTCTTTCCAACTTGAATATGAATTATCTTTTACTCTTGTCATTTTTATCCACCTTTTAAAAAGTCTAAATGGTCTTATTTTAATTGAAGAATTTTGTATCTTGCAATTATGCCATTATGGACACAGTGTTATGTGTAATGAACGAGTATTTGAGAATGAATACTTCAAGGTGGTAATTTTTACGCATTTTCTCCAGTTGTGTTTTGATAAAAGAGCTGTCTTTCTATTTGTACATTTGGCAGGGTTCATGTCAGCATCAGAGAAAAATTTATGTTGAACACTGATAGTTGTGCTTTGAAGATGTGTCATGAAATTGTTTTTAGGCCAACTGCAGAATGTGTGCTTGATCTGTTGTTTAATTTTATTCCAGATCGCAAAGCTGTGATCTCTCAAGGACAGCTGAAATGTGTTGGCTCTTCCCTTTATCTCAAGATCAAGTGTGGTGTTGGTTATCATCTCAGGCAAGTACATTTTATTTCCCTGATGTAGTTAATTGTTTCAATTTTATAAAGTATACATATAGTATTTAATACATTTTTAATGTTTAGTTTTGCTACAATTCATTGAATGTTTAAAATGCCTATAAAAACCTTTTTGTCTTAACCTCAATTAGGTCTTTTTATTTAACTAGTTTTCTTCCTTCCTTGCAGAATGTCTGTTAATGAGGGATGTGAAGCTGAAAAGATCACGTCATTGGTCGAGCAGCATGTTCCCAAGGCAAAGTTGTCTCGACAACACGAGGCAGAGTTGACATTCACTCTGCCTTTTGAGAGCATGGACACGTTCCCAGGTCAGATCACTTATCATCTAGATAAGTAATATAGATAGTCACACATACAGCTCCTTGATCTGAGTCCAATTATAAAACTAATTTTTATGTTTAAGTCAACATTGGTGCTAGTTGTTTAAATCCTACGTTCACAGCCAGTTTAGAAGTTTGCAGGTGTTCAAGTCTGAAAGTCCATGTATGTAGTTTCTTCTTACTGCCCACACTGTCCTTCAGTAGAAAACTCCACCCAGACAAATGCTAAACAATACTGCAACTCATTTGCGGCTCAGCTTTGACTCTAAGAGGAGGGGACCAGCAGCAAGTACTGATTAATTTGTCTTTCATAGGCTTGTTCTCTGAGTTCGACAGTCAACCCAGACTGGGAATTATCAACTATGGGGTTTCTATGACAACACTGGAGGATGTTTTTCTTCGTTTGGAGGCAGAGGCTGAAGTGGACCAAGCTGGTGAGTGTGGAACCAGAGTAGCGAGCAGTACTGTTGCATACAAGACGACTCCCTAATTCATTAAAATGACTTATTTTGCCCAAACGAGTATTTCTCTGTATTTATTTTTTTCGTATCTTCAGACTACAGTGTGTTTAATCGGGAACAGGCGGAGGATGAGGGTGATAACGCCTCTGTGGACGATATAGACCAGCGGCTGCTGACGTTCTCAGACAGCAAGTCAGATGTTGTGTCGGGTCAGGCTCTATGGCGGCAGCAGTTCAGCACCGTGGCCTGGCTGCACATGCTCAACATGCACAGGGAGAGGAAGGCCTTCATTTACACGTGAGTTTGCAGAGACAACAATTTGAAAAGAAGATGCAGCTTCAGGTCAGTTATTTGGTACTAAGACACGTGACAGTGGACAGAAAATTGTTGTTTCTACAAATGTTGTTTATTCATCAGCATGTTGAATTTCATTGTAACTTTTATCACAATCGTACTGAATGACAAAGAGCAAATTGTATAATGGGGCTGCAACTAATGATCATTTTTGTAGTTGACTAATCTGTAAATTATTTATTTGATTATTAATTAAATATCTTTCAAGTGAGTTACTGGTCTTCAACACACAATAAGCTCACAATCTGATTTATCGCCAAGTAGATTTTAACTTTAAAACTCTGAACTTTTTAACAAAGATTTTTGCTTTGGAACTATATAAAATAAAAGTATATTAAAGTACTATAACCACAACTGTACACTAAAAATGTAATGTCTGTTTAGAATAATAAAGCAACAGCCTCCTTTGATAATACTTCTGTAGTTTATTTTTCCAAAGTGTTTATAAGTGTTTTATAAGTGGAGAATGTTCTGTAGGCTACATCACAAGCCAGATGTTTCTTGATTTACTTTAAAATGTTAAACCACAATTACTCAGATTGTAACAACAGAATAACAGCAGTACAAACACTGAAATTATCTTACAGTTGATAATTGATTGAAAACGTTTATTGTCCCGCTTTTTGTTTTGCAATGATACTCTAGTTTTGTTATGAATCCAGCGCACCCCTTTCTTTTGCAGCGGCGCCTGCTGTCTGCTCGTTGTTTGACAGATTAAATTTCTTATTCACCATCGGTACCTGGCACCTATTTCTAACAAAAACGCCTAAAATAATATATCCAAAATAAATCAGTAATATCTCCTCAACCATTAGGCCTAGATGCATAATTCTGGTCTCCTTTGAAAGGTCAGTAGCTAAGGATTATAAATCCATTGTACATTAACATATTTATTTTACCATTACAGACTACATGGATATGAAATACAAAAAAAATATGGCATTTTCATCCTCGCCTGGTGAAGAAAAAGCTTTATTTTGATGCAGTAAACCATCAAAACCATCATAAGGTAGATTATAATGCACCTGAATATCTTCTGATACACCTGGAATACAACTGTGACTGTAAATTTGATGAAAAGAAACTAATATACAACAGTTATTACACAATCTTTCAAAAATATACCAGGCGAATTCCCATGTTTTGGCCATATTTACTGTTTATATGTTCTTTTATTGGTAGTTATCTTCAAAACACTATTTCTCTCCATACAGTCACATTCCAAATAACAAAAAGCTTCCAAAACATTGAAATAAAAACATTCAATATAAATGACCAAAAGCTTTACAGGCCCACAGCTTGAGAACAGAACATCCTACAGGGCTGTGGGTGGGCTCATTTTGTTCGTATCGCAGGCACATCCTGCATGTCTGTGTAGCTCCTACGGGTCGCCAGCAGAGACCGATAAAGATCGCCTCTGCCAAATCACACTCTTCTTCTGCTCTCATACCTCATGACACAAACAAAACTTAAGACCGCAGCCGACCTCACCAAGATGGCAGCCCGCCAGACGATCTCTGTGGACATAAAGCGCCGCTGTTTTTGGACGGAAAACAGCTAGAACAACAAAAAACGCTTACGTCCCCTGTACCGGGTCAGTCCGTTCCCATTGCATTAAGTCATTGCATATCCTGACAGAACACCAAGGTTGAATCGCTACTCGAGTAGTTCACCTGTCACCTGCTAGGCCCACCCACAACACAGAGCCCTTTGGCGGCACGTCCGCCCGCCCCAAACTTAAACTTAGGCAAACACTGTGTTGCTGTCATCCTCTTACCTCTAAGATGCTGTTTAAAGTGAAGAATGTTGGATTACTATTTTGCATTTCATGGGCATTTGGGTTTTGCATATATAATCCTTAAAAAAATGAAGCATTCAATTTTAAAAGTTGATGATTCCTGAGTCATTGATTAATTTGTCTTAAATAATCGTAATCTCAATATTGACCAAAATAATTGTGATTATGATTTTTGCCATATTAGTGCAGCCCTTGCTTCTATTTATAGATTTTTAATATATTCTACCGATGTTTGCTAATATTTAATTTGCTAAAATATATTTTCATTATATCAGATGTAAGCTGATCAAAGATATAATTTAAAAATATGTATGGTTAAAAGGTTTATATTCTGCTGTAGGATTGCAAAGACTCTGTAAAACACTGCCTTCCACTGATCCTGTCTTTCCTCACCACCTTCCTTCTATTGCAGTCTGGCCTTGTTCCTGGTGTTTGTTGCTGCAGTGCTCGTCCTTTCTCTGGCCACAGGAAACATCCAGATTCACTCCCCAGAACGTCAGTTTCTGCCCATTTACCTCCTCAAACGGAACCAGGCGCCCCAGAGGTACGCCACCAGCCTCCTGGTTCAGAACAGCTCAGGTGAGTCTGCCGGACACCTGGGAGGAAACATGATGATAGCTGATATTTTGCATCAGGATGTTTAGCTGTACGGCTGAAACCTAGACCTTCAATTATATTTTTCTAAGTCTGCTTTCAGGTTTGTCCTCTCAATGGACTTCAGATTGATTTCTTTCAGAAAGTGCTGGATGCTGTAAACATTGTGATGGGATACTGACTGCTGTACAACTGTTAAATAACACAGTACATCATAATCGATAAGATTTGTCCCAAGGGCACAGTTCTAACTAAGCAGTGCTTTTTTTTTTTTGTGCCAGTAGACTCTGATATTTCTGACTTCATCCACAATCTGGAGTCTCAGGACATCAAGGTGGAGATGATGAAACACAGCGACTACATGTCTGCAGCTCCCCACAGCGCCGCCATCAACGTAACAGGATCCAGCAAGGTCACTTTAATATTGTAATATTCATCTTTTGATACCAGATATTTGATGGAACTGGAGATAAAGCATCAGATGTGGACTCACATGTCCTGTAGCGCCTCCACCTGCAGTTAATGTGGCAGTAGTGCTCCTGATGAAGGGCCCCTTAGTTAGAGGACTCTCAAACAGAGAGCCTTATATTTAGATGTAGTGGAGTTCACCTGCCAACATGTGACACTCTTTAACACTTTTTCTTCTGTCTGTTAAGGGTTTCAGTTACAGTATTGCGTTCAACAGCACCACAGTTCACTCCTTGCCTATGGCTGTCAATATACTAAGCAACACTCTCCTAAGAGGCCTGAATGGCACTGGACAGATCCGAACCTGGACCAAACCGTTTGATTATGTGAGTGTTTGACAGAGTCAGGTGACGCAGCTCTTATCTATCCCATATCCCAGTGCCATTTAAAGATGCTATATGTTTTGATCCCTCAGCAAATCCCAGATGCCACGTCCTTCGCTCTGGTGTACATAGAGGCCATCATACTGGGAATGCTGGCAGCTGGAATGCCTGCATATTTCGCAATGGACCACACACGAGACAGAGAGGTAATCACTTACTCCCAGTGATGTGATTCTAATGATTATTTCATCTGTCCAGCCATTGCAAGAAGAAATAAATTGTACTTTAAAGCATGTACACGTACAGCTTGGTGGATTTCTTAATTTTGAGTTTCTGTTGTCCCTCTCATAGAGCACATAGAAATCCTCTCTGCTTATTAGAAATCAGTATAATAATGCAGTACATGTCAGATATTTTGGCCTATATATTAAAATGTAGTGATTTCGGCATATTTGCCTGTTGTTTTTTTCTTTCTTCTGCAGATCAAGTGTCGCTCTACGCTGCGTATCTCTGGTCTGGTACCGTCAGCCTACTGGTGCGGGCAGGCAGCTGTGGACATCCCCTTCTACTACCTCATCCTCTCCTGCATGACCATCATCCTCTTCTCCTTCCACACTGAAGACCTGCTCTCTTCCAGCAACCTCACCGCTGTGGTCTGTTCTGTCAAGATTATAATGTGTACCACTCGTCTTCCATTCCTTGGACAACAATACCTTAATTACTGCGGAAAGCCTTCCTCTCTATTCCACCTTTTTGACATATCTAGATTTAACCTTCAGACAAAAGTCTTAGTTAAGACTTAAAAACATTCTAAAAGCAAACATATGATACGCTATACATTACATATTGCAATATTCATGAAATGTGAAATATTACCATTGAGTCACTTTACATGACGTCTCTTCTCCCCTCTCTTAGGTCCTGTGTACTGTTGGCTTTGGTCCAGCCATGATCCTCTTCACTTATGTGTTTTCTTTTGGCTTCGCTCGAGTCCAAAGCAACAGGGATTTCTTCTCTGTCATCTCCATGATGGTGAGGCGGCATTAAAAAAATACAGGCGCAACCACCTTCCAAAATGTGTTCCTGAAATCATGAGATTAATAACTATGATCGCTGCCTACCTTCACAGCTCTGCTGTCATATTGTACACGTGGTGAAAGAGTTTTGCTTACTAACTGCGTGACTTATGCCTCAGGTGTGTGTGGTGTCTGCCTCGCTGGTTCAGTTGTCAGTTGTGAACGACAACCTCGGACTGACCAGAAACCTGCACAACATCCTATGTTTCTTCAACCCGCTGTACCCTCTCATGGGCTGCCTCAACTGCATCACCAGGGTAGGAGCTCAACCAGGGCAATCAGGCAGTTCTTTCAGTGGTTTCTCTGTCTGCCTTTTTGTCTTTAAACCTGGATTAAGCTGTGTTTTTTTTTTTTTTTTTTTTTTCACGTTTACAGGCGACCTTCCTCCCCTCTCTGTACGAGGATAGCTACTTATGGAAAAACCTGCTCATTGCGGTCATAGCTGTATGTGTCTTATTTTAAAACGTTTGGCCAAACAGCGCTATGTTCAAAAAACAGAGACTGTAAAAGTTTGTGGTGTGACTATAATGCTTATGTGCCTGTGTCTGTGCTCAGCCCTATCTCCAGTGCATCCTGCTGCTGTTCCTGCTTCGTTGGCTGGAGATCCATTACGGAGGGAGGACAATGAAAAACGATCAGTTCTGCAGGTGATGTTCAGATTTCAGTTCATAACTCAGATTACACAGAGCCTCTGCACTCAGAAGGTTTATTTCTATATTCTATTTCACACAAACAGTCTGAATTGAGACTCTTGGTAGTTCGAGTTCAGGTTATAATGATGCATTATAGTGATTTTAGATCTAGATACAAAACCAGATTTGTCAGATAAGCAATTTAAAAACCTTAATTCATTTGTAAAAAAAATAGTTTGACCCAGAGCCAACCTTGATGTATTTATTTAAACCTTCACAGGATCTCATCCAAGTCAAAGCCCAAAGTGGAGAGGAACCCAGAAGAAGGGCTGAACGAGGATGAGGATGTTCAGATGGAGAAGGCCAGAGTGAAGGAGGCCCTGACCTGCCAGTCCTGTGAAGAGGTGAGTGAAAATCTTTTGGAGCTGTTGAATTGTGTCTCGGTTGATGATCGAGAACCTGAATTTGCAGGATTTCTTTTTATTCATAGTATGTTTTTCACCCATCATAAGTTAATTTAGTCTCTCTTCGCTGTGTCTTGTCCATTTAGAAGCCAGTGGTGGTTGTGAGTAACCTGAGGAAGCAGCACAAGGGCAGAAGAGAAGGTTTTTCTCTGAACAAGACGAGGAAAGTGGCCACAAAGAATATCTCCTTCTGTGTTCGCAAAGGTATGTTTTTAGTCCTTTATGTTTGGGCTGTTCCCGATCCGTTAGGAAGCTAGTCACAAAAGTTCAGCCATGGTCTTCATTTTAGAAAAAAACAGAACTGTTGTTTCTCCAGGCGAAGTTCTTGGACTGCTGGGCCCCAATGGAGCAGGAAAGAGCACCATCATGCATATGTTGTCAGGTGACACTGACCCCACTGCAGGCCAGGTACGCTACAGATAACCTTAAAGCTACTCTCCTTGTCTGTCCTGTGGAATATTAGTTCCTGGTCCCCATTTAAGACTTTCACTCATGTAACCTTCTGGGGTTAAATGGAAATATCTGGTGTTTTTGTTGCACTATTCTAACATTGAGGTTGGGTTAGCTACACATGTACACGTCTGCACCAACTCAATAAAGATGTGAGCATAATAATATCATTTGATTATTCTACTTCAACCTGATATTTAAACAATTAATATGAAAGAAATTGATGTCCATTTGATCTTTGGTCATTGTAATTCTGTAACAAACCCTATCATGTTTTCTTATTTATTTATACAAGGAAAAACCCACTGAGACCGAGGTCTCGTTTACAGTGGTGCCCTGTAACACAAGGTTTTTCAAAAAATACACTTAAAACTAGACTTGAGTGGCACGGATGGAAAATGATGTTTACCTATCTTAGTATAAACCCAGGGAACCTCCAGAACTATCCAGTCCCGTGATTGTGTATGGTAAGAGCTGTTTGAATTGGACTTTGTGTAAAAAATGAAAAGTGTCTAGCCCTTCTTGAGAACAGGGAATCCCAGCCAACCGCAGCATATAAATAATATATAAATAAATAAATATGTTGTGGTGTGTATAAAAACTTTCCCCAGTAATAAAACGTAAGGCAGCACATTAAACAGACTCGGACTCTAATATGGGTCTTAAAAGAGAGTTTACTATCCAACCAAATACCAAGATATTTGTATAAAGAAACACATTCTAAAGCCGAATTGTTCAATGTGTTAAGTTTAAAAGAATCTGCACTTATGTTTCCAGGTCTTAGAAACATCATATACTTTTATTTGAATGTAAACTTTTATTTTCTTTGTCCAGGTGCTGATGGGGGACTACAGCACAGAGTTTCGTCAAGTGGACAATCCTTTGGAACATGTGGGCTACTGTCCACAGGTGAACCCTCTGTGGCCCAGGATCACTCTGCAGGAGCACCTGGAGATCTACGCTGCCATCAAGGGCCTGAAAGGACAGGACGTACCGGCTATCATCAGACGGTGAGCCTCCGTTCACTATTACAGACACAAATGTGTAGTGTGACAAGGTTTGGATTATAATCTGTAGCCTCCCTCCTCCAGTGAGACGATTTATCAAATGTGTTTGTTTTTTGCATCTCTGATCTGTTTAAAGATGACATCCTGTGGTTGGCCATTTGTTTTTAAAATTCAGAAACGGTATCTTATTATTCCACCTACTCAGCACAGCAAATGAATGGCACGGGGGCAAAGTCAGATACTGACTGTGATAACTTTGTGTTGTGAGTGTTAATTTATTTCCTAAATGATGGAAGAGATTCAAGAATACCTTACTTTTTCTTGTGGTAGTAGGTAGAGTGAAGTATGTTAAAGTTGCTGACAGTTTTGCGACTGTTGTTGTTGTTGTTGTTGTCAGTGTGGTGAACGCTCTGGAGCTAAAGGACCACTTGAACAAACAAGCCAAGACCCTGTCAGCAGGACTCAAGAGGAAGGTGAGAACCTGTTCACCATTTTAACTATACAAAGCCCAAACTCACTCAGATAAAGTGTTTTAAAGAATCCATCAGACTTTAGATTGAAGAGTTAACATAAAAATAAACCGCAAAGCATTTACAAATTAACTTAAATTTCACCTGGACCACTAAAATGACTCAATGCAGACAGCTTCTCGGACCATTTTTGACTTTATGGAATAAAATTTGTGTTTTGCCATGTTGAATAATAAAATATAATTTGTGTAGTGTTGTATCTTCCCTCGACATCTAAATTTACACTTTTAATTCATGTATTTTATCTGTTTTGTAACAGTTTGACTACACTGTTGTTTGTTTACAGTTGTGCTTTGCCTTGAGTATGATTGGGAATCCCCAGATCGTCTTACTGGATGAGCCGTCGTCAGGGATGGACCCTAAGTCTAAACAGCGCATGTGGTGAGACTATACTCGCCACAAACATCCCCAACATACTAACATCCCTTAACCTTTCTAGATTCTAACGTGTTAAACTGTTAAATTCATTGTTAAAGGAAACGTAAGATTATTATTTGATTTTTTTATTTAAATAAAATGTATTTAAATAGTCCATTTCAATCTTGTTCTTACATTTACTCATTAATCTGACGCTTTTATCGAAAGCGACTTACAATTGCTAAATACGCTGGAGGTCGCACGCCTCCGGAGCAACCAGGGGTTTGCGAATAGGGCTGGGGGCGATCCGTCGACGAGATCTATTACGTTAATTACGTCAACTCGTGCATCTAAGCGTTGCTGCATCCGGTGTTTGTGAGGGATTCTTCAGGACAAGCTCCAGCTAGCAGACCGCGACCGTCGGCCACGGCCTTAAGCTTGACAGAAGCTGACACCACAGAAACGTTTGTGCCACGCAGGGAATGAAAGCAGCAGCCGCCGCCCGCGGGCAACGTGGTGGTGGGTGAAATCGTCGGGCCATCTGCCGCTTTGTTACACCGTGTGTCATCTAACGTTCGGCCCTTTCATATTTTCTGTTTATTTAACGGCAACGTATGAGCGAGAAGACAGCTGAAACTGACATTACAGACAATCTGTGGCTGTCTGCACAGTCTGTGAATCGTTTCGGTTGTTTTCTTTGCCCCACACTGATGCAGAAACACATTTGATTATCATACTGCATTTAAAGTTTTAAGTAAAGTAGCCTCATCACTCTCTGTTATTGTTGTTATTATGACAACACGAAATAGGAAATTTTATTCATTTCAAGATCTGCTGCTATTGTCATTATTCTAATGTGCTTCATCAGGATGATTGAAGAAAATACTGATTTATTGATTAGACATGTTTTTGATATTTATTTTGGATTAAGTCGTATGTTAATTGAGTAATAGGCAACTTTTTTTCTTTAGAATACACAAAATTAGTCGTAAAAAATAATCATTAGATTAATCGACTTGGGAAAATAATCGTGATGTACAGCCCTATTTAAGTGTCTTGCTCAGGGACACATTGGTGGACGTGTCACAGTGGGAATCGAATCCGGGTCTCTCACATCAAAGTCAACTTTTTAAAGTAGTTCTCCTCTGTGGTAACTTTGGTCAGTAGGTTCAGCTGTAGAGCGGAAAGAATTCATTATTTATCTTGACTGTGGAGGATTTGTGTCTTCACAGGGCCGTGCTGTTGCTGTTTGTCTTTCTGTCGTATTTAAAATCAGTCTCTGACTGCAGTGTCTCCTTTTGTTTCTCTGTAGGAGGGCCATGCGTGCCGCTTTCAAGAATCGTCAGCGGGGAGCCATCCTCACCACGCACTACATGGAGGAGGCGGAGGCCGTCTGTGACCGCGTAGCTATCATGGTTTCCGGCCAGCTCAGGTAGGTACCCCACAGCGTACGGGGCATACTCTGAAAGGGCAGATATCTGGATCGCTCAGTGCTCTGTCTGTGTTTCAGATGTATCGGCTCCATCCAACATTTAAAAGGGAAATACGGTCGAAGCTACAGTTTGGAGGTAAAACTCAGAGAGGAGCTGACGGGGCTCCAGCAGGTGGCGCTGTTGCACAAAGAGATCCTCCGAATCTTCCCTCACGCTGCCCGGCAGGAGAGGTGAGACCCAGGTCAACTGAATCGTCGTGTATTGAGTGTAACGTCAGCACAACTTCCCTGCAGCTGTGCAGAAACAAAGCATTCACAGTCTTGCATAAATGTTCTGTTCTGTCCTTTAGCGGTGGGAATCTCTAGGCACCTCACGATTCAGAGGACTGCAGTGTGATGATAAAACAATTATCATTATCTTTTCTTTACAGGATTCCTGGATAATTATCAAGCATTTAATTTGCACATTGCGCACATTAAAATCCAGAAGAAACGTCTCCCCATTAGCTTAAAAGGACTAGTTTGCACCCCTAATTTGCTTTACTGACCTCAGCTCCTCAGCGGGTCACCATCATCCTTTCTTTAACAATATTCACTGCCTGACTGACAACCTACTGCGAATCCTTTCCAATGCAAGCTTTCACAGTCACTTTCTACCACTCGCTCACCCACACACTGTACGCGCTGTTCTTATACCAGCACCACATAGATTTGATAAATGAGTACTGGAAGCTAGCCCAACGAACAACGCTTTTCAACCAAAAGAACCCAAGTCCCCAGATCTCTTTCCAAGGAATTAACCAGTTCCTTCAGCCCACTGTTGTGTGCGTTTCTACCGTGACCTGCGAAGATTAGGCAAATGAACCAGCTGACGAAGGCTGTTGGCCTGCACGCAGTACAAAGCGACGCACAGGCATCATTATTTGTAACCACTATCCATGAGCAAAATTTATAAATGAACATCAGATTTGACTGGAATATAGTGGAAAACTACAGGATGTGTGTGACCATTAAAAACAGCTTTTTTGTGTGGGAGTGTAATGGAGAGATGCGCTAAAATTTGAGAGAAAGCAACTCAATAAATAAAATCGCGACCGTTTGGAAGGTTATTAAAACATTTCCAGCCGACAAGAGCTGCAGACCAGCTGCAGCATCACGTCTGTGTCGCCTGAGGGTCGGAGGAACGGGATGTTTAACGAGCTCAATTACCTGCTGTAATCAGCTGTTCCACTTGTTTTGGAGAGGAGGAGACCGACTTCAGCTCTGTGCAGAAACTTCCTGACTGGTGAAAACTTAAAACAACAACTCAGGACCCGGTATTTAGCGTAACGCCATCAGCTGTTCACAGGTAACGCTGCTGCACGCTGGCTGCTGTTTCTGAGCAATACATTTAATGCCGACGTACGATCTCAGGCGGACAACTAGTTCCAGGGTTTAGTTCCTTTGGTCGAAACGCACGGTGCACAGAATATAGGGGGAACACACCACTTCCGAGTTCTGTCAAAGTTTCGTTATCAGTTAACATTTAGAAATTAGATTTTTAACTTGATTTGATTCAGAATCATCTGCTTCGCAGTGAATCTAGGAATCGATTTTTCCTCCACCCCTACTGTCCAAGCAAAAGTCCAGAACAAAGAGAAAAAGAAATGGATCAAAATAATCAAACATTCCCCTCAGGCTTGTTCAACGTATATAAAGTCCAGAACAGAAAGAGGAAGTTAAGCTAGCGGAAGTCAGTAGACGTTCTGTTAAGTGTAAACAGTCTGCATTTAAATTCTACATTTACTAATTTAGCAACACTTTTCTTATTCTTTTGTTCTTTTGGAAAGTAAAGTGTTAAAGGTTCACTTCAAAATAAAAGCTCCGCTAAAACCACGAAATGCCCTGTTCATAATTTAGCGCGTCATATTCAAACATTTATGATGCTTACTTTGCAGCTTTGCTACTCTGATGGTTTACAAGATCCCCACGGAGGACGTCAGCTCACTGGCCAAGTCTTTCTCCCAGTTGGAGAGAGGTGAGTCACTGCGGCAGTCTGTCTCTGTCTCACACACACAGCAGCCATCTGGGACACGTTGGATCTGCTGACTCACTCTGTGTCATTTATCTTCCTAATCTCTGTTTATCTTCAGCCAAGCAAACCTTCAACTTTGAGGAGTACAACTTCTCCCAGTCGACGTTAGAGCAGGTAGGCGGAAAACACACCAGTTTCCACCACAGATGCCAGACGCGGTAAGTTCAGATGTGTGCTGAAACAATCAAAACAAGTCCTCTGAGTGATGCCCCCCCCCCCGTCTCCCCGTCCTGCAGGTGTTTATGGAGTTTGCCAAGGAGCAGGAGAACGAGGAGGACGAGGTCGGCTCCCTCAGCACAACTTTCCAGTGGCAGCGTCTGCGCCAGGACGGCCCGGTTCCAGTCAACCACACGGACAGCATCGTGCACCAGCTTTGAACCACAACTGAGAGGCAGCAGACGGGCCACTGACCAGGACTGACCGACCCCCACATGCCAGGCTTCAGCGCCTAAGGGTTCACGCCAGCACTCGCCCGCTCCACGCAAACCGACGGCCCTTAAACAAACTGGGTGGGGGCTCGTTTCACCGGGACTGTTGTTGTGTGTTCAGGCTCAGGGCTGTTAAGGCCCCTGTCTCTGGGTCTGAGGTGTGCGTTACCCTCGTCCACTGGTGCTCCGTCTTCTCTGAATCGCACTGAACGAGGGGGCCCGCAGTCCTTCTCGGCACGCTGATGCGACACCTAATCCTCTTTCTTATGGTGTTTTTTTTTATCTTCACAGGGAGTCCGTAAAAGCAACATATATATATATATATATAAATAACATATAAATATGCTTTGTAATCCTTCCGTTCGCTCCCTCTGTGGGAGGCGTTACAGTCGGTGTGTTTGCTCGTCTCTTCGGATGTTCTTGTCTATTGTGTTTTGTGAAACTGTTTTTTAAGCACTACCACAACTGGGATCCATCCACGATCGTACCAAAGCAGCACATCTCAGAAAATCACACTACCACACCTCCTCACGTATTGAAACTGAAAAGTACTTTTTGTTCTTTAGTGTCAGTAGCATGTGCATTAACAGTTTGCATAATAGTTCTATAATTGATGCGGGGCAGCGGGATGAGGAAATGTCTGAATTTGAGTCTTTACAAAGACACCAACGTCACAAACAAGTGTTTTATTTTCCTCTGAAGGCTGAACACCCGTGTCCCTTCTCCTCGTTTTACACCAGCATGCACATCTTCACATCCAGACCACCATTCACGTTCTCCAGGACCGAGTGTTTCAGCATGCACGCTCACGAGGAGGCCGATTTTATTGACATGTGGCAGCCGGATGTTGGGACGAGGGTTTTTGGATAGATGATTTGTGGCCTTCCTTTGCAGGTTTAGCTTTTAGCTGTAGTGGATTATATGCACACCAGTACATGTAGCACGCTGCCCTCGCCAGACGTTAGCCAGGGCCGACACCTCAGACGTGGACAGGTGAAGCTCGAGGTTGTTTTCAGATCCAGACGGAAGGATTTTTGATAACAGATATCTGAATGTACGTTTGGCCTCCGATGAGACGGAGGGTCTGTAACTCAGCAGTGACCGCTCTGTTGAGCTCCTGTCGTCACTCTGTTTCACTTTGGTGCCACTTTTAATCACGCAGCTGTGTTTTGTTAACTCTATCTAGCCTGTTTGGTGTGCGTGTGTGTGCGTGTTTATAGTGCTGTATATACTTTTGTGTAGCTGCGACTATGTCTGCATAATCTAGTATTTGTTCAAACAGGTGGGTTTTTGGTGCAATACCTATCAGCAAACCGATATATTGTAATTTTTTCTTGACATTCAGGTGAGAGGACGATACGGTTAAAGGGAATTTAAGACACTTTGTTGAACAGACTTGACAAATATGTGATCTGTTGGGTTGACTTTTATTTTTTAAATGATAACAAATTGACCAGCTTCCTCATCAGATCTTTTACTCGACTGTATGACTCTTTTGCGGAGGAAATGTTTGTTGCAGGTTGGTTGTGCAGGATTTAATTACAGTCGGGTTTGTTTGTTTTATATACCTCTTGCATACCTGTTTTTTTGGGAAGTTGGTCTATTTGTCATGGGAAGACGATTGTTTTAAAGACAGCCGTAGGTTTTTGATATGAATTATACAAACTTGTTTGAATAAAATATCCAACACGAATTCCTTTTGAGCTCCGTCACGTGTCTGACTCTCGGAGCGTTGGCACATTTGCCTTGTGGTGGTGAGTTTTTTCTGTCTTGCACAACGCGTCTGGGATCATGTGTTTAAGCTGTAGCTTCCATTTATCTGTTAGAGGTTTTTATTTGCTTGTTTTAACTTCTGTGTCATCTTTAACTGAAGTTAAGAACTGATGTACAGAGGATTGTGAAGTGCTTCATGAATTGAGTACGAGGCCGATTGACTTCCCAAACATTCACTACACACATTAGACTGCTTTACACAAAAGATTCAATTACGCTTGTGAGAGGAAGTAATGCTTGGGTTTCCGTCCATGCACAATTGGGCGAATAACGTCCTTTTTAAATGTGAAAACTTCCTTTAAACCCTGTTTTTGTTTGTTTTTTGCACACATGTAGCCTGGTTCCCTTGAATAGTGAACAAAGTAAAACACTGGCTCTGCATTAAGCTTAACGTGTCGCGAGGGTGGATGGGATTTTGGGGTTTTCATGTAATATGTATGTCTTATGTTTGTTTTCCCAAGTGCAATGCAGGGTATTTGTTCACAAAAGAACTTGTTGTACTCCCAACAGTCATGTGTGTTCTGTGAGTTTGTCAGTTTCAGTAACATGTAGCCGCCCAATGTCATCGGCTTTCTTTGCGCTCCTCTTACCCCTGCCTCCAGAACAAAAAGCATCTCACCTAGTTAAAGAGAACCAACTCTTCCACTCGGTGGAAAGTGGAGCATTTAAGCAGATTGGCATCATTTGTGGAGCAGGTTTCATTTTATTTCCCCGGTGGTGGTAAAATTGCACTATTTCTGGGAAATTTTATAACCTTTCTTTATATTATGCAATCTTTGTAAGATTATCTGTGCACTGATTTTATTTTTTAAAGAACGGTTTAATTGTGTGCTGTATTTTTTCTTCCTGTATCGCCGCATGTCTGGGACACTTGTCATTAATGGACTCTATGGTCTCTACACGACCTTTTCATGAATAAATGTTAATTCAAATGATGTTTCATCCTTTTTTTTGATGCCATACTGATCTGACTAACCTGAGTGCTGCTGGTGAGTTTGCATCCGTTAAACACAGACTGCTGGGCAAAAGTGATTTAACACCTTTTTATTTGGCGTGTTTGGTTAAATCTGAAGCAATGTAATGCAACAAGGTGTAAGTTACCCACTATGACAAGTTTCCAACCTACCCGGGTTTTAATAAGGTTTGTAACCATGTTGCAGAAGTTTAAAATTGAACAAGTAAACTCAGTGCATTAAAATGCATACAGCAAAAAGAAACGAGTAAAGACGAATGTAATAAAGAAAATGCAACAGAAATTTTCACAAGTGAAAACAAGAATCACACAAAACATCACAGTTAACACAAAGGCCCTTTTGACTTAGCATAGCCTTGTAGGTCTTGACTAACGAACAATACATATAGCTTGGAACATGCTAACCTACCGTCAACGCTTCTAACATTTCAGATTGTTATTATGAAGTTAAATAGATGTATGTTTCTGGTTTGATATTGGTTTTTTTTTCATTTATTTTATGAAGCATATTCTGTTATGGTTTTATTTGAATGTCTTCACCGGAAGTGTTAATACACTATCATGTCTGCCTCTTGACGCTTGCAGAGTTGATGGTGGTCGTGATGTTTGGCGCCCTCTAGCGGCCGCAGTGCGTAGCTGCGTCTCCGGTATTTAAAAAAATAAACTTTACGAACATCTTTAATTAACAGGCATCTTCAGTAATGTTAAATGAACCTAAAATTAAATCTGAGCAGCAAACAACAAAAAATAAATAATAATAACAACTAAATTTGAAGGGATTTAATTAAAATACAATGTTAGTAACTCTGAGTTTTAAGGCACGTCAAATCCCCATTTTGTTTACTACCTCCTTGCTTTGTGTTGTACACATTGAAAAACCTTCATATTAACTTTTACTTTTACTAATATTACAGCCGGTTCAAGAAAGTGAGATCAATATGTTTTATATTTCTATACTATACAAACATTTGTAGTTCCACTTTATTTATTTTTAACTTGAAAACAATTGCTTCAGTACAACATACAGACAATCAGAATGGGTACAAAACATACAATGTTTATATTCTCCTGGTAAGGAAAGACAAAGAATTCACAAAGATAAATAAATAATAAAAAAAAGAAATAAAAGAGATGTGGGTTATAATTTTACAAATATAGTGTGAAGTGCATAATTTCACCATTTTGATAACCTCATCCCAAAACAAGAAAGCTATCGTTCCAATATACAATTTAATTTCTTCTTAAATACAGTGAATATTGGTTTGGCATTAGTGAATTTCATTTGCGGATATTCTTGAATACAAAAATATTCATAAGATATAATCAAGAAGTATTAAGATTACATTCAACATTTGTAAAACCATAAATGACATTCTTATCCAGTAGTCCAAAATAACAGTTAATATTGTCAAAATCTACATCTTTCCACAGTTTGTTGGTGTAAGAAGGAGCACATAATGTCAAAAAAAAAATGTTAAACTTCACCAGAGGATTTTACAGAGTAGAAACGACGCAAACTAATTTGTAGTCCACTTCATGTGCTTGTTGAGATAAAAGTATGAGTGTTTGCCGCCATCTAGTGGTCACAGCGGGGAACTACAACACACCAAGTTAAAAGCTCGCGTCAATGCAGGCATGACATCCTACACTTCCGGTGAATACTTTCAAATTACAGTGACCAAACGGACACCATCTAAAACTAAAGAAACAATCACGAAATCATGATGTTTATTATTTTCTAATGGTGACAGTTAGGCGATAACTCTAAAGTGGGAAGAATACGTGTTAATAGTGATAATTATATTTAAAGCAGAGGATGAGGTTTTAGGGTTTTTACCTAACTAGCTAGCATTAGTGCTAACTAGCGTCTCTTCTCCTCCAGCACTGATTATTTAAAGTATCAGTACGGGTGACATTATTAGAATGAGAAAACAATGAGGATTATTATTTCATTTTATTTCTTAGTATTAAATAACGTCAAAGCCACCGAAAGATAGATAGTTGACCTGAGTGTTTTATCACGAGTGTTTGCTGCCCCCCCGTGGTCACAGTGTAGAACTACAACAATAAATCCGTAAAAATAGCGTCAATGCAGGCATGAGAGCATACTACCACTTCCGGTAATTACTTTCAAAATACAGAGACCCAACTAACAAATTTAACGTTAATTGACTTACTTTACGTAAGTGAGCACAATTACACAACAATAACAACTAATTATTGAGTATAATTGTTTTTAAAATGTGCATAAATACACAACACATTGTGATTTTAGAAAGTAGAAGTTTATCTGTCACATTAAAACAAGTTGTAAAGGGAAATTAAGTTTGTAACTCCCAGAAATACACTATATTCAGTTCATTTTTGTAATTTTCACGTGAGAGAATTAGCCACAATAAATGTAAATCAAAGCCCTCTAAACAATTAAACTCTCTTTCAGACAGACCACGTTTTCACTGCCTGTTGCTCTTATTTGAGGTTTTGTACAGGGATAAACGAGTTTTTGGCGACCTTGAACCCAGGTCATTGGAAAGTATGCAAATGATAGCACACTCACTCACTGGCTGTGTGATTTTTAGCATTTCTCAGGATGAACACCTCACTGGATTTGAACTACTAAATCACATAGAAATAATTGGCTGACATTGATGTCACACCCGATATTGGCTCAAGATTTACGTAAATTCTAGGACTCTTCTCTTGAGATTATACAGCTTCAGAGGTTGTTGACCTTCTTGTAAATGAAGGACTTCCTGACACTGAGTAATTGTGTTTCCACGATGAGGTAAAAAATACTTTTCATATTTGTTTGTTATTTTTTAAATAAGTAAAACTGAGAAAAAGTTGTACTAAGTAGTGAGTAAGTACAGTAAGTATATATATATGTTACAATACTTTACTGATAACTCTAAAGAATAATAACAATCAGTAAAATATCTGTACCAGTTAACAACAGTTGATCATTTATTATCTATTTAATTGGTTCGTTTATGATTGCTTTAGTTTGGTCACTGTATTCCAAGGTTTTTTTTTTTCCAAGTCCTTTTGTACAATACAAATTGTACAAAATCTCGTAGGGAAATGATTGACATTTTTCTATTCTTCTCAACCATACAAACATAGAACAGCAAGGCTCTAGTTTTCATAAATAAATATTTACCAACATAGTAAGGTAAACTTAGAATATAAAAA